TAATATTGGCCGTCAATTATAAAAGCTAATTAATTCACAATAGAAATTTCCGAAAGAAAGAAATCCCCGATTTTATCATTCACCTGATGCATTCCGATCTCGTCTCAGTAATATAATGTACTATTTCAAATAGGATTATGATCTCCTTATGACATTGAAAGAAGGCCGAAGCGGTAGGTATGTCTTTATAGAGATGGATGCAGCAGCAGGCCAGGCATTACAGAGACAGAGCATTTTTACACGCTAGGTTATCCATTGGATCCGTATTATAAAAACTTTTTACCGCTCACTGCCGAAGAAGCGCTCGCTTTAATCCTGATTTAGTGGACAGACCATCACGGGACTTGGAAATGAAAAATTAATTCACTTGATTATTATTGTAACGTGGACGCAGTCGGAGAGACTCGATACGGATGGGAAGTATTAAAGTTCAATTGAGAGAAAAAATATATATCTATACGAGATCGAATGCGACGTTTCTCAATTGTAGACAATCTGCAGGATTCTTTAAACATGGCATAAACAGCAAACGGATTAGTTGAGCAACTACTAACGTTCATTATCATCATAAGGTCGTCAGTCCTAAAACTGGTTGGACACGTACCTCCACTCTTTCCTATTCTGCGAACAGTAATCTAATCTAGGTCTACCTCTACCCCTCCTAACTTCCGTATTTTCCTCTAATATGTCTCGGACTAGACCTTCATGCCTGACAAAATGTCCTACCAACCTATCTCGCCTATTTTTTATTAACTTTCATAGAGTCTGCTATTCTTAATAATACCTATTCATTTCTAACCTTCTCTATCCACGGTATCCTCATCACTCGCCGATAATACCACATTTCGAATGCTTCTAACCTTTTCTTTTCCGCATTTCAAATTTCTAAACTAAACCGCTCGCGAGGGTAGAAATGACTTAATTTTATTGAAAGCGGCTCGACCCTGTGCTATCATCTGCTTAATATCCCTACTACTCCTTCCGATTTATCTGACTTCCTAGAAACCTAACATCAGCCACTTCTTCTACTTTTTCATCTCCTATCTTTATATTCGCTCTTTCCCTATTTTTTCCCTTGCATACCAGCATTTTGTTTTACTTTTATTTATTTTCATACAGTACTGTTTTGTCAATACCGCTTCCATTTTATTTAAAGCTATCTCTAACTACTTGCTAGGCTAGATGCTAATACTGCTATATCATCTGCAAATCTAAGCATACTAATATTTTGCCCCTGCATATCTATCCTTNACTTATCTGACTTCCTAGGTATCTAAAATCAGCCACTTCTTCTAATTTTTCGTCTCCTATCTTTATATTCGCTCTTTCCCTACTTTTTCTTCCCTTGCATACCAGTATTTTAGTTTTACTTTTATTTATTTTCATACAGTACTGATCTGTTAGTACCGCTTCCATTTTCCCCTATCACAAAGTAAAATATATTTGTACAATTTTGAACATAATATCGATATTAATTATCCATCATTAACAAAGAGTGCAGGGATTGCGATTAATACACTTTGTGCTTAAACAGAAAATCCAATCGCAAAAATTGCCCAACAAGGTAAATGAAAAATGAAAGAGAAAAAAACAAACAAGAAAAGGACCAGGCAAACCCCACAATAATTGAGGACATGCCCGAACTAATACGGCCAGGTGTGTTTTCCCGTGCATGTCCAGAGACAATATAGCCGGGCTATATACGCCTTCCCGCCCCTGTTAACAGCGCCAACACCTTTTCTTCGCACGCAATTTTCAATTATTAATTTTAGGGATTCCCGAACAGCATCCTATAACCTAGGTAGGGTAGTATATATGTACAGACACAAACGAAAACAAGAAAATGTTGCATGATCAACTGCAATGAAGATTAGCGAGTGTAGGTGTCACAATTCAGAAAACAACAATAAATTAATAAACCTAATAATATTGGCCGTCAATTATAAAAGCTAATTAATTCACAATAGAAATTTCCGAAAGAAAGAAATCCCCGATTTTATCATTCACCTGATGCATTCCGATCTCGTCTCAGTAATATAATGTACTATTTCAAATAGGATTATGATCTCCTTATGACATTGAAAGAAGGCCGAAGCGGTAGGTATGTCTTTATAGAGATGGATGCAGCAGCAGGCCAGGCATTACAGAGACAGAGCATTTTTACACGCTAGGTTATCCATTGGATCCGTATTATAAAAACTTTTTACCGCTCACTGCCGAAGAAGCGCTCGCTTTAATCCTGATTTAGTGGACAGACCATCACGGGACTTGGAAATGAAAAATTAATTCACTTGATTATTATTGTAACGTGGACGCAGTCGGAGAGACTCGATACGGATGGGAAGTATTAAAGTTCAATTGAGAGAAAAAATATATATCTATACGAGATCGAATGCGACGTTTCTCAATTGTAGACAATCTGCAGGATTCTTTAAACATGGCATAAACAGCAAACGGATTAGTTGAGCAACTACTAACGTTCATTATCATCATAAGGTCGTCAGTCCTAAAACTGGTTGGACACGTACCTCCACTCTTTCCTATTCTGCGAACAGTAATCTAATCTAGGTCTACCTCTACCCCTCCTAACTTCCGTATTTTCCTCTAATATGTCTCGGACTAGACCTTCATGCCTGACAAAATGTCCTACCAACCTATCTCGCCTATTTTTTATTAACTTTCATAGAGTCTGCTATTCTTAATAATACCTATTCATTTCTAACCTTCTCTATCCACGGTATCCTCATCACTCGCCGATAATACCACATTTCGAATGCTTCTAACCTTTTCTTTTCCGCATTTCAAATTTCTAAACTAAACCGCTCGCGAGGGTAGAAATGACTTAATTTTATTGAAAGCGGCTCGACCCTGTGCTATCATCTGCTTAATATCCCTACTACTCCTTCCGATTTATCTGACTTCCTAGAAACCTAACATCAGCCACTTCTTCTACTTTTTCATCTCCTATCTTTATATTCGCTCTTTCCCTATTTTTTCCCTTGCATACCAGCATTTTGTTTTACTTTTATTTATTTTCATACAGTACTGTTTTGTCAATACCGCTTCCATTTTATTTAAAGCTATCTCTAACTACTTGCTAGGCTAGATGCTAATACTGCTATATCATCTGCAAATCTAAGCATACTAATATTTTGCCCCTGCATATCTATCCTTACAGTTGTACTGTCTTTAATGATGTTGATCGCGTCTTCGATATATAGATTAAAAAGTAACGGTGGCAGTGTTCATTCCTGTCTGACTCCCCTCCCTACGTTGCAGCCCCATCTCTATAACTGCCCGTTGCTCTTTACACAACCTAAGTATCACTCTCCTACCCTTGTAACTCATCCTTACATTTTTAAGTATATTTAACATCTTGTCTCATTTAAAAGCTTTTTCTAAATTTACAAATCCTATGTACGCACTCTTTCCTCTTCCTATAGCTTTCTCTATTGTTATCCGTAAAGGTAGAATGGCCTCCCGCGTTCATCTATTTCTTCTAAACCCAAATTGATCTTCCCCTAATAATTCTTCCGCCCTTTTTTCCATCCTCCTCTGTAAAACTTTAGTTAAGATTTTTGACGCATGGAACTAACGTTATTGATTAAAAATTAGCTTTGCGATAAGTATTTTCGTATTAATTATTCTAGAATGACTCCAGCGTCCAGGAAATTGGTTTGGCCAAAGTTTTTCAATACATTCTATTCGAGAAATTTGGCAAGGAATTAAATCAGGACACGAGAAATAAATCTTACTGGCAGTAAGAGACATGGAAGATTTCATTTCTCGGATCTTTCTCAATTTAATTTAATTCGACAGTAGGAAACATAAAGTGCAAAAGCCGAGCAGTAATTCGGGGAGTAATAACGTCTCACGGCAGAGCAGGTTTTATGACGTAACACATCCGAAAGCACCCCAATAAAAGACTCATTGTCTCTATTCACTTCACTCCTTCACCTACTAGTCTAAACTATTACTATTGTCCCCTTTTAAAAATAATATTATTGAATACATACAAGCCGTTTCGTATAACACGATGTCCTTAAACAGGATCAAACTATCGGGTTGTTCGGTAAGTCATTTCGTTTTTTCCCGACAGAGGATTTAATTGTATTCTTTTGCACCCAATTTCACATTTAAGCCGTATAATTTTTATATGTTTTGAGAGCTCAAATGATCCGTTTTTGAAGCGCATCATCACTGGGGACGAAAAATGGGTTGTATACAACAACGTCAAACGCAAGAGGTCATGGAGCAAAAAAGATGAACCGGCTCAAACCATTTCCAAAGCCGATATTCACCAAAAAAAGGTGATGCTGTCTGTTTGGTGGGATTTTAAAGGAATCGTTTTTTTTGAGCTTTTACCGGATAACACAACGATTAATTCGGAAGTCTACTGTCATCAGCTGGACAAACTGAATGATGCACTTCAACAGAAAAGGTCAGAACTAATCAACAGGAAAGGTGTAGTGTTTCACCAAGACAACGCGAGACCTCACACAAGTTTGGTCACTCGCCAAAAGCTTTTACAGCTTGAATGGGATACAATGCTACACCCACCATATTCTCCAGACCTGGCACCATCGGATTATTATTTGTTCCGGTCACTCCAAAATTTTTTAGACGGTAAAACCTTCACCTCAAATGAGGAGGTCAAAAACCTCCTCGATCAGTTTTTTGCCAGCAAAGACCAAAAATTTTATGAGCGTGGAATTATGCTACTACCAGAAAGATGGCAAAAGGTGTTGGACCAGAACGGTCAATATATAATTTAATAAAGTATTTGTTTATTATACGAAAACTGTCTTTCATTTCCGCAAAAAAAAAAACGAAATGACTTTCCGAACAACCCTATATTTAAAAAACGGACAATTCACATTCTACCAATTTTATCAAGTAAAAAAACTATTCTACTGCGAACCCCACCACAATTGCACCTATTTACTAAATGTTTATCTACACGCATACAAACAAACAAATACAGACGCACTCTCACTCACCCTTAGCAGAGTCATACACCACGGCCTGAGCGCTTATTTTACCGGAATAGAAATGTCCATTTTTCTGGTAGTTTTTGTAATCTCGCAATGCATCCTCTGAAAGGAAATTTTTCTGTAATTATCAAATTTTTCATCATCATTTATATTTTATTGTATAGGTACTATTATGCCCTCTGTTTCCTTTCAGTAAAATAAGTTCTATGCAAAAAATACATTACGTTAATTTTTTTTCCCAATCCTAGAATTAGTTGCCTAATAAGTACATATTAATAATGTTAACTTCTGTAAGGTAATGAGACATCTTAATTACATGCACATTCGACGCGGTTTTAAATTTGAATAGTATAGGTAACAAGAACACAGGGTCGAATGCCCAGGAACAAAGTACTTATAATTGAATTAATAAGTTATTTGTAATGTGTTACCTATAATTACGTGGACGTAAATGAGACATTTAATACGTATGTAAATGACCTATTGCTTTACATAAAACTAATTTGCCTCCGACTAACTAAACTCACTCATAAACACGTTTAAGTTTTATAAGTTGTTACGCAGGGATTTGTTCGTTAATTTAACTGTTTACGTATAATTATTAACAATTTAATGACGTTGGAGATGAACGGGGCGAAATGCAAGTATTTACGCTCCGATGTGTCTGCTGTGTGTGTCTTGAAATTTTATTACTTGTCATAAATCAATCAAGTTGTCGGGTCGATTTTAATGATTCCAAGCCGTTCAGCTCAAAATGCGCCACCATAATTACACCGCACTGTATTTACATAGTAATGGCCATTTCCACCATTACTTGTGGGAGTACTTCTTCTATGGTGTCTAAAGACCCACAAAACTCAACCGAATTTCTTCGTCGATCGATCAAATAATAATTTCATTAAATAATTAAAACGCTATTTAAATTAAAGCGGATGGCAGTTTGACTTTTCGTACTGTTTTTTGTTTAAATTATTATTACTTCGGTCATCGGGAGAGACAGGAGCGCGAGTATGAGAGATGGAGTAGATGAGCGTCTAGCAACGGCGACAAACTTTTATAATATGCCGGGAAAACTTTGTAGTCGAGAAATTGAATGAGGCGGTTCCCGGGAATCAATCGGCCTGAATTAGGTTTGCTTAGAACTTTTCCCATATTTTAAACTCTAAAGTTGCCGAGGTATTATTTGGGCAACGGCATAATGGCATTTTTGAACCACTTTTCCTGAAGGAGGAAAATCCCCCATCGGCTTAATAACTATGACGGGGACGCAACGCGAGAAAACATAAAATCTACTCTATGTAAGAAATCATCGTAGGGCAGTGTGGTGAACTTTTTATTTATCAGTTAAAAAAGGGGAAAATTTTTGTGGGGTTTTTGTTGAAACGCAGAGTTAAAACACAGGGCAGGGTTGGATTTGGTTGTGAACAAAAAGCTGATGTACGTAAAGGTAAGGATCAAACTTATTTCTTGTTATACTTATTGGCTAGAAGAGAAATAGATAGAGAAAGAGGGTCGCGATTGATTGTAGCGTGTCAGTTATAGTTAATAGTCCAGTCAAATGAGGGAACTGGCTAGAGAAAATAAATGATTGAAACACGGGTCATTTTATCGGGAATTTCGTGAATAACACGAATGTGTAAATGAAAATTATTTGCCCGGCATGGGAGGGGGGGGGAACCAGCAAAAACTATTGCAAATTCGATTATCTCGCGAAATATGAAAGATGGAAAAACGTTTCAATAAAAGTTTTTCACAATGCCATTTTGGAAAAAAAAAGTATTGATAACTTTTTCCATATCTCAACAAAAATTCTGCGCACCTAATGGCAAAGAGATCTCAAAATTCACGGAAATGGCAAAGAGATCTCAAAATTCACGGAAATTTTAAAAAAATTCAATAGTGTCCGACCGAAAGTTCGGTTTCGGTTTCGGTCGAGTTTCGGCAAAAAAAAACGAGTTTCGGTTTAGTTTCGGTTTCGGCGGTAAACCTGCCGAAACTACGACCGAAACCGAAACTGCGTTCGTGAGTTCTCGCGCTCTGCTCGGTCATGTTCGGCGCGTTAAATTCCATCCAAGCGAAGTATAACTATACTTACTCAAATAAACATCCTATTTTAAGTATTTTTAAGGCGCAATTAAATTATTTCCTTAAATGAGGGGTGTTATGTTGATTTTGATTTGATTATCAATAAGTGAAAATGTCAAAGACTGCAGAGCTGTGTGATTTAAAGATAAAAAAATAAAACTGACTAATTATAATAACGTTTTCTTTATTTTTCTCTCAAAACATGATCCTTATAAGGAAGTTTCGGTTTCGGTTTCGGTTTCGGTTTCGGCCGAAACTTAGACCGTTGCCGAAATTCGGTTTCGGTCGTAAAAACCAGTTTCGGTCGGACACTAAAATGCAAAATAATTTTCATTTACAAATTCGTGTTCCTCGCGAAATTTCCGATACAACGACCCGTGTTTCAATCATTTTCTCCATTATAAGGTACTCTTCAGCCATTAGACTGGACTATAAACTTATTTCTTGTTACAGTTATTGGCCAGAAGAGAAATAGATAGAGAAAGAGGGTCGTGGTTGGTTGTAGCGTGTGTGTGTGTCAGTTATAGTTAAGGCGTTGTTGACGTATTGAGATTTCCCGCGTGCAAAAGCTCCGACATGACAACGGGTCTCCCACATGATGGTGCAACCAACGTTCGGTTAATTAGTAAAGTTGTCTTTGTTTGTTGTTTCGACGGTGGACGGTGGAGGAGGAGGTGTGTGTCGCACTAACACATCGCCGCGGCAACCGATAAGAACTCGGAGAGAAGGCGTGACGGGGTAGTGAGCAGACGCAATTTTGCGCTAATTAGCAAAAATTAATACTCGTGACAGCCGCAATCTTGATACGTTATACAGTTACTTTTATTTTTAGCCGGGGACAGAAGCACAAGTGAGTGTGTATAAGTGTACGGTGGTATTTCAGTAGGTATCCAGTGGTACAGTGGACCAACAACAAGCAACTGCTTCGACATACTGGCCAACAATCCACCTTTCAATACAGTTAATTAGGTGACATTGTACCGAAGCCCTAATGGTCTGATACGTATCTGCAAAGACCGCTGAACCAGATACCATCACCTTTCTGTCAGTAGCATTATCATGGGACCTGACGCGATCATGGGCATGGTCGAAACTGAACGGTGAACAATTTTTACATACCTACAGTGCCTAATACTATTGCCAATGCCTATCATTTAAAAAGTGCTCGACAAGAATTAATGTTTCTGTTGATATTTTGCTAAGTGTCAAAAGAAAATTAGTTCTTCAGTGCCCAGGATCCTTTCCTAGTAACGAAATTGAAACATCAATAGAAAATCGTTTTATTTATGTTCATTCTGATTTTAGTTCCAGTCACTGTGAATCTCAAGACGGATCAAAATATCATCCTCACGATTTCTCTGACATATTCCTGGGATTCCCGCACTCAGATAACGTCGCATTTCTGAAGAGACCAATAATAATGGTTTAAAAAACGAATTTACAAAATTTATCCGACCTTACACTGTATACAAATGTAACCAAAGCCAATAAAAAATTGTTGATGAACTTATTGGTCTTTCTCTCTCGTTCTCTAGATCACGTTCTCATCATCGTCGTGATCGTGGTTTTGCGTCTGTCTGATGAGTTGTCAATCTCATCTCGCTGAGCTTGTGAATCCAAAAATCAAGAGGGATCAAATCAGTGTACACAGAATTTCTCTGATATATGTATTTCCGACCGCTTCAACTTTCCCCGATTTATCCCTAAAACGAACATAGCACCCTGACCATCACCATAAAGTCGTAAAAGTTTCTTGAAGAGATCAATAAAACGGTTCAAAAAAGGAATTTCGAAAATATTTGATGTACCTAACCCTTTTCTTGGACCATATAGACCACATATGTAACCAAAGTAAAAAAGGATTGGTGATTGTGAATTGGGACATGTTGGACTTAGTGTTTGTCTCTCTCGTTTTCTAGATCACGTTGTCGTCATCGTGATCGTGGTTTTGCGTCTGTCTGGGTTGTCAGTCTCATCTCGCTGGCTTGTTGTTGTTGTTGTAAAAACGTCCGAGCGGCGGCTGCCAATTCATGTGAGTAATTAAATCAAGTGAAAAAGGCCCCGGCATCAAAGAAAAGTACACAATGTCGCCACAAAGTGTTTAATGGACAATAAACGGGAGATACGGAAGAAGAAAGAGAAGGAAAGAACGTGCGGTTTAGTGTTTTTAAGGTTTTGCGGTTGTCTGTCGTTTAGTGTACGCACGCATTTCGAGAAGGTTTTATTAAAAGAAACAAACGCAGCAATGTACCGAGAGAGAGAGAAAGAGAGTCGAACTGAAATAATACCGTGTAGCGATGAAATTAATCATAAAGCGCCTAGATAAATACACGGCGGCCTGTCTGATGTCTTTGTGGGCCGCGGTTTATAGTCCGTAAAATAGCCCAGTAGCGACCTTTGTTTATTTGGCGCAGGCACACTTATTCCACGGCCACCCGGAAAACAACTGGCTCACGGATGGACCGAATCACTTTCCTAGGTGCAACCAGCAACCAGCTGGATTTTAGTTTTACGAACGCCTTCCATCTATCTTATTCACAATACACAAACTTTGATCGTATCCTTCAAGATTCGCATCGAAAAGTAATAAAAAATACACATTACACTCGCATACAAATTGACACAATCGAAATGTCGCCCTACGAGCTTAAAAGCTGTTCGATGTTTCGCACCATAAAGATAGCGGTATTATAATTATCCTTTGTGGAATTGGTCAAAGGGTTGAAGATTTTCTACAGTTTTCTGAATGTCGTCCTCTATATCTTCACAGGAAGAGAACTCTCAAAGCAATCTTCACATTCTAAAGTACAAGTCTTAAGTCATCGTCCTCTACATCTTCACAGGAGGAAAACTCTCAAAGCAATCTTCAAATTCCAATATACAAGTCTTAAGTCATCGTCCTCTACATCTTAACAGGAGGAAAACTCTCAAAGCAATCTTCAAATTCCAATAAGTCATCGTCCTCTACATCTTAACAGGAGGAAAACTCTCAAAGCAATCTTCACATTTCAATATTC